TTTCGCCGGCAGTAAACTATAACTTAAATTCGGGCACGGACTCCACTGTAAAGTGCTCATAAAACATTTTCTTTACTTTCACTGTGAAAAACTGTTAATTTTCAAGATATACATTTCGATTTATAACCTTTATAATTGTGTTTATAAAATATAAAAATTTGACATTTGACGGTGACACACAGATTCCCCTATTGTATCATAGATGGCGCTCTATACAAATTTTTGATTTAAATCATTTTAAGATAATAATAAGTATTTGTCGTGGAAGAAGTATAGTATGCACCTCTTTTTTCTATACACTCATTAATTTAAGTACACACTCGCATTCGTTTATCAAACTTGATACATAATAATACCATAACATAAATAATTCAACCATAATTCTTGTAATTTTCAAAGAGGACCTTATTTTTACAAAACTTTTTGTAGACCCAGAATCAAAAGTATTTATTAAAGATTGATAAGAACTTAAATGAAAAGACAAAAATAATTAACACATACCTACATAAATAAACACAAAAATAACACAACATTCTGAAATCACCAAATTATAAAGAAATTAGGTACAATATAATTATCAGTACTTCTACAACACTTACTGATGTATTTCGTAACTTTAACCCACTTGTATTGTCAGTGGGAAACGTTTTGATTGACTGCTTAAAATCACGTGTACTTTTTCAACGAAATAATTTGTTAAACATTAACAAAATAATCTGAAATCTGAAATTAACGATATGCTTACAAAATTGTTATTATCTTTACAAAACTTTCGGTAAAATATTACCTTTGTTAAAATAATTACAAAAACTGGTTTTCTATAAAAAATGTTAAAATTTTACAAAATAAAATTACCAAACAACGTGTTGGTAGCTTATGCCAGTTTGATTTAGTATTTTTACTATTTAAAAAATGTACTTCTGCTGAAGACCTTAATTAAATACTCTGACACTGTCAAATTGACAGTAATATGTATTATTGATAATTTACTTGTTAATTATTATATAATATCGATATAAAAAGATAACTATGCCAAAAATAATATCAGATTCTATGGTAAACGAACTTTTAAGGGCAAAACTTCATTTCAATTAAGTTATGCCAAATGCCTCAATGGCAGAAAAAGTACATCGCCTTATGGACATTTTTGGAGTAAAAAAGTAACGTTTTTGGTTTTACAAATATGAAATTACACATCAATTTTCAGCTAAGCAGATCAAAAATTTTTATAATTTTAAAAAAGGGGGAAATAAAAAAACAAAAAATAAAAATTATTTGCTTCTAGGTTCAACCTTTTTGTGAAAAATCTAGTAGGTAATTTTTTGATCCAACTATAGTTATAAATGTAATTGTGGTTATGTTTAAATTATTGTAGGTTACATTGAACGGTTGTCAAGTTGAGTTGTCAAAATGCAATTAATTTGGCTTTGGTGGTGCGTAGATGAGTAAAATCATATAAAAAAGTAGTTAAATATAGGGGACTACGGCCCAGGAGAGACAAAGAATTCCTAGCGGATAATAATCTTCGCTTTGAAAAGAATGTATATAAAAGAATTTAAAATTTTAAAACTATGGTTTAGTTTGTTTTAATCAATGCAACCAATTTTGGTTCCGTATTTACCAACCAAACCCCTAAATTTGCAACGTTGCCGCAGTCCAGATAAAAAAATAAACTTTACAAACTTCTGTTAACAAATCTGATCAGTGTAGTTGTCTGAAATAAAAAAATGTTGTCCATTTCATCTGATATATTTATATTCAATGGGAATCCTAAAATAATAACAATAAAACTTAAAACCCATTATTTTCAGGTTTCGCATTTTCCCACCCAAATTATTAATACTTTGTGAATTTGTAAAAAAATAGTGCCGCGCTTTGAGTGAAAGGGCCCCTATTATGTAGGTATTATGCAACACCTGTTTTCAGCCTTTTACATTCAAAAATGTTTTTTTAAGGACGCCAAATGATAAATGATAGTCATTTCTTTCTACAGGTGCTACATCAGGCTGTGATTTATTAAAAGAGGTCTATTAAATACATGTATACATTGTACAATATTAAATATTCCTAAATAATTAAAATTTACAATAATTATTATGATATCTATAATCATACTATTTTAAGGATTCTGTTTCAATTTTTAAAAAATAAAAGGCTTTAATATTGAGCTGTAAACTTTATGTCCCGTCCTAAATTGAAAAATCCTGAATTAATTCGCAGTAAGCCTGTCACAAATGGCTGAAAATTGGTATTTAACGAAATTTATACAAGATTCTCAGTTTGATTTTATTTATTTATATTAAAAAGCGAAACTAATTGGTTATCGTAAATTTCACCAAAAATTAAATTAGATTCCATATTTCAAGAGTTAAATGAGCTTTTAGTATCTATTAAAAAGTCTTGCCATGAATATTTAAGTAGGAAATCCAGGGACGGCGTGTCTAAGATTCTTAAATTAGTGGATCTCAAGTTTAATATTAATATTCGTTTAGTTAAAATAACTACACAATAATAATATAATAATAATCTTTATTTAGCAAAAGCTATTTTTCAACAATCAATATAAAAACATGTAATCAATATATATTACTGTGTAAGTAAATTCTTAATAGTGACTTAAATCTATTTAAATTATTACATTAAAATGTATTTTTAGTAGTCAGCACTCGACTAAAATTTTCAATATAAAAATCACTTGCACTTCTCGTTCCATAATCATGAATACCATCTACCCTAATCAATCTGTCACTTAAAAACTCTGGTAAAGCTCCAATTTTAAATTTAAAAATAAATAACATAAAATTAAATACAATAAATTGTTTCACGCTCATTAAACTTAAAGTACCTATCTAACATAGTTTTGATATGCGTATAGCGATTACATTTTAGGATTATCCTCATTGCCTTATTTTGCAACTTTTGTAGTCTATTATTTTTATTCTGATTTATTTCAAACAGAATACACGAACAAAAATTAAAATGGGGGGCTATTTTATATTTGTATATCAACAATTTCACATACCTTGACAAACTATTACCTATCCTACTCAAAAAGTAATTTTTTTAGATATCTTATTCATGACATAATCTATATGCGGTTTAAAATTTAAGTTTTTATCTATCATTACACCTAAATATTTAAAGAAATCTACTCTTTGGAGTTCAGAACCATTAATTAAAAGTGTTTTGTTATTTATGCTTAAATTACTTAATTTATGACTAGTTCCCAAAATAATGTATTTGGATTTATTAACATTTAAACACATTATTAGCACAAAGCCAAGTAAAAATATTATTAAGATCAACATTCATTACATTCATCAACTCTTCTAAATTATCATCTGCAAACAAAGAAATTTCAGATTTTGTAATACATTTTACAATATCATTTATGCACAATATAAATAATAAAGGTCCCATCACTGTTTCCTGTGGGACACCATATTTACTTTGTAGTTTACTAGATAACAAGTTATTTTTACAGTAAACGGTAGTTTTACAGTAAACGGTAGAAATGCGCTATTTTTACCATATGGGTGGTTTTAAGATTCTGATTTAATTTTGGAAAAAAAATTAATCGGATTTAGTTCAACTGACTTTTTTCTTTTAGGTAACTTGGTCAAATATGCCAGAATGATAAAGAAAGTGCTTTATGTGCATAAAAATAAAACTTTTTTATATAAATAAACAAATGACCGTCGCATACTTTTTTTTCATGTGATTTCACACATTTTTATTTGCTCAAAAATAAAAGTATCCCCATGTTGCTTAGGTTAGAGTTTCCACCGGTAAACAACCGACAACAACAAAAAACATAGCAAGCAACTTATATCTATTTATGTTGCTATTTTATCACTATAGATGGTCATGTTAATAAAAAAATAAAATATTTTAATTCACGCATGCAGTACCATCTAGCGGCAAATAGACGACCTACGTTTATGTGAAGAAAACGTCTGGACAACGTTCAGTTATTATTTTTAGCCTAAACATTAACAATAATGGCTATTTAAGACAATTTTATAACACAAAAAACCCAACATTTGTCCAATATCATTTTCGTTGGCTACTTAAAAGTTGAATTAAATTTTTATAAGATCGCAAATATTGGATTTTGCTCAAGGGACATACGACGGTAAAACAGGAGTTTTAAAACCAAAATTAAAAAATAAATTTATAGGATATTGAACTTTTGGTATTATAAATCGATAAAAATATGTAAAAAAATAAAAGTTTTAGTTTTAATACCCCAGGGACATGGTATCTTAAAAGTTACTGAAAACCACCCATATAATATATTATATAACCCACAAATTAACATTACATTACATTATAAAATTTACATTTGACAGTTTGATGACAGCCCTTACAGAATAAGGTTTATTTTTTACAAAAGAAGCCTTTAGCTCTTTAAGGCCTCTTTTAAGGCTTACAAGTGCCTCTGTAAGAAAAACAATGTTTAAAACGATTATTAATCTATATAAACATCACAAACCCGAAGCACAAGAATTGTAAGGAATATAAAAAAGGTCGCCGTTAAAGTCTGTGCAGTAGATTATGTTCTTTAAAAGTGAGGTTAGACAATATCTGTCCCTTGGGCACAAATTCCAAGGTTGTCGTCAAAAAGAGGGGTTAGACTGGCACTGTGACAGTTGTAAAAAATTTTGAAGTTTTCTTCGTCATCTCTCATCCGTTGTTGTTGTTGCTTGATATTTTGTTGGCTTCCCCTGTATATAATCACTTTTTAGGTTGACAACTTTGGTCAAATTAAATTTAAAAAAAAAAATTATAAATTACAATGGGGTGTGATTTAACATCTAAGATATATTGTCAACAGCACCAAAGTGTGATCAAAAATTTAGCTAAATTTTGAACCATACCGACATACAGAGCTTGTAAAAAGAAGGCATTCAATAATTTAAACCGCATTTGACATTAAATGTTGTCTCTTAACGAAGATAGAAAAGTGTCACAATGACATCTTAAGTTCGTTGATAAAAATGGTAATTGTCCACATTAAAGCCTCAAAAGAACTGGAATCTGTATTAAAAAAATTAGACGAAGAATCAATAGCAATCTTATCGTTTTTAGCAAGTTGGTGTAAAAAGTGTTCAATTATGATACCGGAGTTGGAAAGAGTTGCTGAAGTAAATCCTTCTCAAACTTTCGCCTTTATAGATGTTGACGAGTGCGATGATCTTGCTATAGAGTACAATGTTATTGTTTTGCCAACAATATACTTTATCAAAAACAAGGCTATTATTGAATCAATTATAGGACCCAAATTGATCTCTCTTCATAAAATTTTGTCCAGGTTAAAAATGGAAACACCCGCTCCTAAAAAAGCAGAGAAAGACAAAGAAAACAAGAAGGAAGATGACGGAACCCCGATTAGGATTAGGATAGGAAAAGAAAAGAATTTACAAACGGAATCACTTATCACCACCATTCTAACCAACGAGTTGAAAGAAACAATCTCAAAGCCAAGACAAAAAATATCATTTGACCATGAACATAAACCTTCTAAATCGACGGACGAGAAAACATCTACACCACAACCATCTAAATCATCCGACGGTAAGGAAATTGCCCAGGCATCGAGTATAAAAAGTCTGAACGATACCAAACCGAAGGACGAAAAACCATCTAAATCGGCGGACGAAAAATATTCTGTCAAAAAATCGGTTTCCAAAACATCCAACAGTAAGGAAATTGACCAAGCATCGAGTATAAAAAGTTTGAACGATACCAAACCGAAGGATGAAAAACCATCTAAATCGGCGGATGAAAAAAATTCTGCCAAAAAATCTGCTTCCAAATCCTCCAATGATAAGGAAGTTTCCAAAACGTCTAGTATAAAAAGTTTAAAGAATAGTGAGGAAAAATCCAAAGACAAAAGTAAAACATAAGTTACAGAAAAAAATAAAAGTTAGTTAAACCCAATAATATATAAACCTTATTTTAATAAAACCTGATTTTTTTTAAATTGATGAATTCCCTAAGAAATTCTACCTTTTGAGTTATAAAGTAAATATGATCTTGAGCAAATACAGGTCGATTTAGCCAAAAATACCAGCCAATACATTTATTTTTTGAGGATACTGAGTATGATCCTCTCGAAAAACATGTGGATTTTCATTGTCCCAGTACCTACAGTTGTGTTGTTTACAAATCCATTTAGAAACAAAGTAGATTCATCGATGAAACAAATATTTTTAAATAAATTGGTCGTAGTCATCTTCGCTGAGTTGGTGGCACACTTGAATTTTATAATGAAAAAACTTATTTATTTTTGGCACCTTTTGAACGGAACCAACATAAATATTTGTTAAAGCAGCTAATTTTGGAATGGATGTGGATCCCACAGCAAAATGACCGAGAACTTTAATTTGTGCAGCTTCATCTAGTACACCCAAGTAGCAAAGGGTTGCAAGCTTTATAAATACATGAAAACCTGCTTTTTGATTATGCTTTATGAGCGACTTTAAAGTAAAGTATTAAAGCCTTTTTGCAATTATAACCGTTTGATTTTAACATTGATTTATTACTGTTAACTAATAATGCCTTTTTAGGGCAACTTGCTCCTAAGAAACGCCCATAGTCCAATAAGCTTTATGAAGGTTTATCAGATGCCTATTGGTTTTAATGGTGCTCGGAAAGTTGGCTTTAATGCGTCTGATGTTAATGTTAAAGTTAATGGTAATGTTGATGCTAATGGTCATGTAAATTGTGTTAGTGTTCACAATAATGTAAGCGGTATGTAAATGGAAAAAATATATTTTAAATTTAGCGGGCAGTGAAACAAGGATTGCATGCATTGTGAAATGTTTTGAAAATGTTAACCTGAAATGTCATTATTGTCAAACCTTTATAATCTGTGATTATTGTTTTGATAATCTGTGATAATAGTGGCACATCAATCATTTTAATGATATTTATTACAAACTGTTTAAAAACAACAATAAACACAGCCAAACTAACCTACAAACATTCAACGTTACTTTTGTGCGATTGGCGCATGTTTGCGTTCATTGCCAAAGATAATAATAATAATAATTATCTTTGCTCATTGCTCCCATTGGTATACCATATATATAGATGGTACAGGAGATGTTAATGGAAATGGTAAAATTCAGACATTTTTTGGATCGTAAACCACAACCATTAACATCACCATTACCATCATTGTGAACGGATACACGCTTTTTTCTATGCTTTGGATATTAACATTAACATTACCATTAACATTAACACTATTGACGCATAATGCATCTGTTAAAGCCGACTCATAGCAGCATTTGGTCTTAGGACTACTTATGTAACAGTAAAAATGTTTTATGATTGTTCCTAGTAGAGCTGCAATACGTCTTTAATATAACCAATTTGCTTTCCAATTTGCAAATTTGCATGAGTGTAAACCATTTTGTTGCTATTGGGTCAGTCCATATCAAATCAACCAAAGGTTTTTCCCTCACCACCTCCGATTTTAATAATTTTTGGTAAATTTGTTTACCTCACTAAAAAACTCAAAAATCCTAAATTTGAATTTTTTTCGATAGGTGGTTTTTGTTTTATTGATTTTTGAAATTCAAAAAATTACCGATTTGGGTCTTGCAAGTACTTACAAATATAGCGATATCTCGTAAACTATTAAACGTAGAAAGGTATGTGATGGCTTATTTTAAAGGCCTATTAGATACCTTTTTTTTTGATATATCACATGACCTAAATTTCTTTCAAAAAAAATTTTTAATTTCGAAAAAAAAATTTTTTTTTTAAATCTCAAAAATACCTTTTTTTATTTTTTTCAAAAAAATATATATTTTTTGTGCACATTTTGATAAGCTATGTACAAAATTTCAAGATGGACACTCAACGGGTTCATGGTGAAAAAAATTATAAAGGAACTCACTAACATACAAAATAATATTTATGGGTCATTTTACTCCAAATAGTTGATGAGTTTGATTTTGTACCTTTGATTTTTTCACTTTTTTGCAGCCGCACGGTGGGCTGGGATACAAATCTAACTTGACAAAATTAGTTAACTCATAATCACGGCATTTTTTGGTCACAAGTTACGTCATATTCACCCTTAACATCACGTCAAAATCACGTATTTAAAACGGACAAATGTCACAGGTCGTTGACGTAATATTAGGACGTACAAAAACAACGTCATTTGAAGACGTCTATATGCCGTAAGTACTGACGTCTTAAAGACGTACAATATTTGTCATTTATTGTAATAAATAAAACAAGGAAATATATTATAAATGTCATATATTATAAAATATAAATAAATAAATAAAATATAAATTCTAAATAACAAACTTAATAGAGTAGACCTATCCCATAAATCGAACATTATGGATAGCTCGAACTATCATTGGCTTCCTCACCATTTTTTAATGCCTTGTCGTATTTGCACTGTTGTTTATAAGGTGGCCAGTAAACTTCTTTTTTGCGAGTTAGCCACTTTGTATTGATAGCGGAAATTCCCCCGTCACCACGTACGTTCGTCGTGTGCAAACTCAACTACGGCGTACATCTTTTAAACACCTAGTATAGGTATAGGTAAATAAATTAAGAATGATTTAATAATTATGTAAAACCTACCTATTGATCCGCAGTTACTGCACTTAATTGTAGATTTGCACAACAGTTATTAATTAACTTAATTTAACCGAATAACAGAATAGACGTCACCGCGGTAGTGCACCGTTGCAAAGCATGGACGGTTAGAAATGATAAAGCAATCGCAGCCTGCCACTAAAGTCAGCTGATCTCACAGTGGTCAGCTGACTGTGAATCACAGTCTGTGATTGGTGGTATCGAGCACGGCGTTCTTTACTTCCCGCCATGTATCGACACTTCACAATTTTTGTCTGGTTTTTTATTCGAAATAATATAATTACCTATATAGGTATTGACAGCAATGAAATTGTAAAACTAAATTAAGAATAAAAAAATACTTTGTTTAAAATAGTATTTCGTTATTGTCTTGTAGGATAATTATTTGTTCATAGACAAATTTGCGTGTCATCGATGATAGGGATTTTTTTTAATTTTTTGTTTTGATCTACAAAAAAATTGGGATTTTATCTACAGGGTGTTCAAAAATTAGGTAAAACGATCTATACCTACTACGTACGTATTATTATATATTTATTACGTGATATAAAATCACCTATTGAAAACGTCAGAAAGACGCAACATAAAAACATCTAAATGACGTCATAAACCCGTCTTTTATTGGTCATGTGACGTCGCCGACGAAAGGTCGTCCTAATGACGTAACCTTGCTAGCTGGGTTACTCCCTCAAAAATTAGCAAAGCCATATTAACCGCATATTTAACTTAAATAAAAATAAAAAATATTTTAATAGTGCTTTGCTAATTTTTGAGGGAGTAATTAATTTTTTCCAGTTAAATTTGTATCCCAGCCCACCGTGCGGCTGAACAAAAGTGAAAAAATCAAAGGTACAAAATAAAGATCAACTATTTGGAGTGAAATGACCATAAATATTAATTTTTTGTATGTTAGTGAGTTCCGTTATATTTTTTTTCACCATGAACCCGTTGAGTGTCCAACTTGAAATTTTGTACATAGCTTAACAAAATGTGCACAAAAAATATATATTTTTTTGAAAAAAATTAAAAAAGGTATTTTTGAGATTTAAAAAAATTTTTTTTTTTTTTCAAAATTTGCATTTTTTTTGAAAAATTATAGGTCATGTGACATATCATAAAAAATGTATATAAAAGACCTTTAAAACAAGCTATTATTCAATTTTTTATTTTGAGTAGTTTTCGAGATATAGCAATTTTTGTAAGTACCTGCAAGACCAAAATCGGCAATTTTTTGATTTTCAAAAATCAATAAAACAAAAACTACTCGTCAAAAAAAATTAAAATTTGGGGTTTATGAGTTTTTTAATGGGTAGATTAAGTGTAATAAAAATTATCAAAATCGGAGATGGTGAGGGAAAAAAGTGACCTTTTTTTGGTTGATTTGATATGGACTCACCCTATTATTTCTTTATTAAAACGTTTTTGTCTTGATAATCACGTCCTGTTCCAACCAAGAGCTAAATCCGCATCATTCTATCTGATGGCGATACTGAAAATACTGAAAAAGTTGTTTTAAATTGCTGACACAAAATTTCAATTAGTTTTATGATTGCCTTGAAAAATGCAGTCATAGGGCTTATTAGTTTTAACAAATAGTTTACACTTTTTAAAGCAATTAAACTTTTTAGCAGTTGTTTGCAAGAGTACATTGTTTTATAACTGAAACCGCCATTTAAATTAGAAAATATTGCTCCGCCATGATGAAATAATTTTAATACAAAAAACGAATAGATAATATTTTTCAGAAAATTTCAAAAAATTTGGTTTTTAAGAGCATGCCAATGCTAGAGAATATTTTTTTATTAGATCGGGTAAGTAATTTACCCAAAGCCTTTAAAATTATTTAAATTAAGCGCATTTCAGTGGGCATCATACGTTTTGTGTCTCGGCAATCAACTAATATCAGTAAAGTGGTATTTGTTTATGATTTTTGCATCCGAAAGTCATTGGTTGAGAAAAGATAAAAAATTTTAAAAAGTTTTTAAAATCAATAATGGCCTATGCTTGTGATTTAATTAAAGCAATATGGAATTCACAAAGTGCAACAATAAAGTAAAAAGCTATATCAATGAGTATAAATTGTCAGCTAAAATGTGTATACGACAAAAGTACACTACCTCCTAAATTTCTAAGTTTTTAATTGTCAGTTGGCTGCATTTGAAAAACTGATACAATTTTTGGGATAAAATAGAAAAAAGGACAATTTTGAGTCCATAGGGAAAATAAAGTTTCAATCAATTAAAGTTAAGAATTTACTGATAACAGAAATTTTGGT